GCTCAAGATTTTCACCAGATAAATTTACACTGCTTTAAATTCAGTATTTCATTGCAGATCACCCTGAGACAGTCACTTGAATTTTGTAAAATATGGCTATAACATCAAAGATACAGCATTATTTTAGCAAAGTATGGAGGGCTTTGTCCATCAGCACTGGTACCATTACTTCATTTTGAAATATAACCTAACTTCTCATTATGATTTCCCGCTGGTATTGTTCAATCTGAAATCTATAGTTAAAAACTAAGGCAATATTTCTCCCACACAGGTTACTTACAGTGGCTTATGGTCTCTGGGTTAAAACAATATATCAATAAAAATAATTTACTGAATCATAATTACTAAAAAATAGTTTTAGTCCAGTGAGCTAACATTCTAGTCCCAGCAGACAAGAAAGTCAATATGGTCATTTTCACATCTCCTCTAGCACATTTTCATTCAATTCAAGCATATGTGTATGCACACAAGGGTTCCTTTATTGGAAAAAATATACTCATGTATATAAGCTAGCTAAGATCTACCTTTTGCTATAGACTAAATACTCCTAACTATTTGGGGTATTATTGCAAAAGTAGTATCAAAGAAAGCATATGATAAAGGGAGTGGGCATTTGGAGAAATCTCTCTCATTATTCCTTAAAAGCTTCTGGAAACTGGCTCAAAAAAAGCCCTCAATTCAGGATGAATTGGCAGTGTCAGACTAATATAGAGAGCCACACATCCCCAGGAAAGCTCTAGTTCCTCCTGTGCCACTGGGATCCTTTTGAAACTACCCTGAGGCCAAGAGTTGACTTTCAAGGTAAAATATACATATGTTGAATGGGGAACCTGTGTTTGTATTTATATATACCTTAAAGGTATGTATATTCACACATGCATATATATGTGTGCACATGTGTGTATGCATGTGTGTGGTATTAATGAACATGGAACATACAATGCTATCACATCCAGTGGCAGATGGCAACTAGAATTATTGTGATCAATTTGCAGTATATACCAATATCAGACCACTACACTGTACACCTATTATGGTTATATGTCAATTATGCCACAATAAAAAAATGTGATACCTTGAATTTAAAAATAAAAACCACATCCGGTCCAACCACATGAATCCTTCTCATTCACCCAAAAGCAAATCAGAGATAGTACCACTGGGACTAGAGGAGGGATGTAATGGGTTCCAAGCCACAAAACAGTTGGGATTCTATCTCCAAAGGCTGTCTTCAGCCTTTGTTTAATACACTTTAAACTCTAGTCCCACCTCATTACCAGATATTATACAACTTCAGAAGAACAAAAACTCAGATACCTTCTACAATTTCTCTATTCAAACTAAAATCATAGGAATAAGAGGTATCATACAAGAGTGAATTGCTTCTAAAAATCTGAGTAACCTTTGAAAGAACATCTTTTGTTAGTTTAGAAGACAAAGTTGAGACTGGTTTATAGCATCATGTTTTATAGCATCTCAGTAGTCTCTGAATCCATTATATAAACTTTCCTTCTTAAATTAACACTAATTAACTGGACTAACTTGAACTAACTATAATTAACATAATCATTCTTTTAACCTTAGGATCCCAAGTCTGGAAACAGATGTCTTAATGGCAGCTCTTTGTGAAATGAGGTTAGCACACATGCGTGGATTTGAGAAGAGTCTTGGTTACACCTATTCATTTTCCTTTCTATGTTTACTATGCACACTCATAAAGACTCTGGCTATTCAGATAGAAGACACAGTCCTGACTCTTAACAGCTATCAATTATATGTGGAACAGTAGTTTCAATAAATTCTTGATCCCAAATTGCATACCTGGCTTTGGAATTTGACATCATGTGTGTGTGTGTGTGCTAGAAAGAAACAACCGACTCAATGATAATAGTGACAGGATTAAAGATTAACATCTTAATCCCTTTGGCAATGCCAAGGGGACCATCCCCTTCACCCATTAGAATAAAAAAGTGAAAGCACTGCTCAGATGACTTTTTCTTTCCTTTCATTACAGACAACTGCATAAACAAATTATGGGATATGTATACTCAATGGACTACTACTCAGTGACTTAAAAAGATGAAGTATTGTCATTTAGGACAGCATGGATGGATCTTGAGGTGATTATACAAAGTGCAGTAAATCAGAAAGTGAAAGACAGTTACCAGATGGTTTCATTCATAAGCAGAATATAAATAACTAAAGAAAACAAACTGGCAAAACACTAAGTATACTTCTTAGGCACTTTGCAAAATATACTGGTTACCAGAGGGGATAGATATGGGGGTGAAGGTATAAGAGGAGGGATGGGCAAAGCTAGAAATTGAATCCAACAATATGTTAAGAGACTCACTGACCACAACCAAATGGGATGTATCCCAAAGACGCAAAGTTGGTTCAACATATACAAGTCAATTATATAATTCCCAATAGAAAGATTAAAATCATATCATCATTTTAATAGATATGGAAAAAGAACTTGCTAGATTCAATACCCATTTATCAAAGAAACTCAAAGGTAATAAAAGGAACATGTCTCAACATAAGAAAGGCAGTATGACAAGTCCAAAGCCAGCATCATAGTCGATTGTGGAAAACTGAACACATTTACCTTAACTTTAGGGAGAAGACAAGGTTTTTCACTTTCACCTCTACTGTTCAGATGACATTTTAACAAAAGATCGCCACTCCCACTCAGAATTTTGTTTTCTAAACAGGCTTGCTTAAACTAGAGACACCATACTGTGAGTCAAACATCGCATCACCAGGAGGCAAAAACAAAACCAAAAACCTGCCAATCTTCCTTCCCCAAAGAAAAGTCCTGTAATCACTGTAGTCCTTATCTTAACATTGTTGAAATATAAAACTCACAAAATAACTACAGATGCCAGCCCAGGGAGCCATACAACTACAAGGTACCTGTCTGAAGAACTCCTCCAGGAGAGACATGGTCCAGCGATGGTGGAGGTCCCAGGCTTTCGCTGGATGGCTAATATCTGCTGTGTGCAGCATCAGGGATAAGGCTTTTGGCTTTTCAATCCTGAATCCCAAACAATCAAACACACAATGGCAAAGTGGTCAGAACCTCCATAGAGTTGGAGAAATTCATTAAATTTAATCCCTTCCATTCTCCCATCTAAAACCCATGTCCTGCTGAGTTTGCAGAAAGCATCATTCCATCCTACAAAGGGACGGAATCAACTTTGTCTCCATGTTTATTGAGAGAGTCACCTCAGAATCAAAACTATTTCTGGAATGACTGCATGATTCAAAAAGACAAGGATCCAAGTGTCACTCTCTGATTTTTAGCTGTTGCTTCTGCATCAAGTAGATCTTTGCTAACTTCTCTTTCCAGAGGAGATATTTTAAAGTCTAATTAGGATGAATTGTTACTGGTCTTACTATTTAGTGCCATCCTGAATAGAACATATTTTGTAAGATGTTCAATTTGCATGTCTCTCCTCTGATCACCCCCACTTTACAAGACCACTCAAAGTCCCACTGAAGGAAGTACGACTTTAATATGCAATGATGTGGACAACCCAACGGCTGAGAACAGATGATGTCACAGGACCACTCACGCTTCTGGCTGCTGCAGGGCAGTCTTCATTGCTTTGATTTGTTGGAAATGACAAGACATATCCGTGGCCATCACCATCTCAATTACCAAGGTCCGAAACTCCCTTTAACAGACATGAGGGGGTAGGGGGAGAAAAAGAGTTTTAAAAATGGAAAATAGGCCCTCCCTGGTGGCGCAGCGGGTTAAAGCACTGCACTGAGAAGCTAAAGCCGCTTCCGCATGAGTTCGATTCCCGCCTGCCCCGGAGGTGACCACATGGTGTGGCAGACCTCTCCTGACCAGCCCGCTGCTCCCCTCAGCAGTGTACTTCGTCGATCTGCCTGTTCTGCTCCCCACTCTGTCTCTGGTGAAGCCTCTCACCGCCCCTGAGCCTCTGGCCTGTACCCCAGTTCTGTATGTACAAATAAATAAATCTTTGAAAAAAATGGTATTTTTCCCATTTCTGATAAAATAAGTTAATTATTGGTAATATCTCTAATCTAACTGGGACCTTAAAGGTTAAGGGTTAAGGAAATCATGAATTATAAATATAACATGGGGAATGCATACATCATTTGGGATATTAACTCATAAGAAAAATTCCAAAGAGTGCAGAGAGCTCCCCTCTACCCCTCTTCCCAGCACATGTTCTCTGGTTAGTAACCCTCATTATATAACATCTTGCAGTGTTTGTTACAACTGATAAGCCAACAGAGGCACACCATGTAGACTGCTCCCCACCAACAAGATTACAGAGATAAGCAATAGGAAGGTTGTCCTGGTATGGGTCTTGTGAGCTGTGAATTGATGTGTTCTGGTGATTTTGAGTTTAGATACTCTGACACCAGCCTCACTAACCCTCAAGTAAACTGCAAAGATCAAAGAGACTATGATCCTAGAAAAGTGAGAATAAAAATACCTAACTACTTTTTCTTTTATAGAACTAGAAGTAAGCAGAGGTAGAAAAGCCTTACCAAAAATATTGAAAACAAAAGTGGCATAGCTAAGCTTTGAAAAAAATGCTAAGAGGTAAGGAAGCATGTTTGGGAGTACTTGATTAGATTTTCTTGAGACCAGGAATATACATCTAAATAAGACCTCACACAAATCCTTCCAAACCCTGATTCATCTGAATATGCATGAAATCTTTCTCTGCTATATTCAAATCTTTCATTACACGTTCACAAACATTTTAATTGGGTAGAGGGCTCCTGTTTTCCCCCAAAGACATGCATTGATTAACTAAAATGCAATGTATTTTTTTTTTTTAGATTCTGGCTGAATCTAGCATTTTTCCAATAAAATTCAAGCCAGCTACTCTCCTATCTTTTAATAAACTAGAGCTGCTTAGAAACTAGGGGCAAACTCTTACTGGAAATCAGTTTCAGGTTTTGTGCTCAGTATCTGCGTTCTCTGCATCCTTGCATCATAGCTGGCAAAAAGATCCTCTACAAACTGCAGATCATTTAATTAAAATATAAGTAGTATTTGCATCAAAGCAGAGGCAGAACTTTGTAAAGACTTAAGTGATTTTGCCTAAAGCTTTGAAACAATTTCATCTATATTTATAGCAACAATGACTTGGGGGCTTGCTGTGTGTGACACAAAGATGTTAGGCATCCTAAACAGATTGTATCACTTATGCTAGCCCTCACGAGTCACAAGGTAAATGACAGTTCTCATCGAGAAATCAAATATTTGAGAGGTGTAAAGGAGCTGACTAACTCCCCAAATGTCTTATCAATAGTAACTCTGTCATATTCAACACACACAATGCCATGTAGGCAACAAAATTAGGTCCCCCCAATGTTACTTTTTTTTAACATGTTAGAATAATTCCCTTAGCAAAATTTTTGAATGTTTGTGTCCAAAAAAGGAGGTACAGAGGGCTGGAGATTGGGAGCAGAGAAAGAGAGCGAATAATAAAAATTTTAAACAAGGTATCATTTCTTTCAAAGATGCACATTTCATCTCATAATTCCTTTTCTGGCCTCCAAATATCTCTTCTGTTTTGTCCTTACCGCCAGTCATCCTTTGAGAGGTTGATCAAAATATTCATCTCCTCATCTTCTTGCAGAAGGCGGTAAGCTGCACTTAAATGGTGATTTTCTAATACAGACCTATCGTTGTACAGAATAGCTGGATCAGACCTGAACAGACAACCAAACAAGACATTTAGGATGTTCAGTGCTGAGGCTGTCACGATACCTCCCCCTTGCTACAGTGCACCATCGTTTTTCCTATATTTAGCAATTTTTTTTTGCCCCCATGTCAACCATATCCAGCAAAAAGTTAAAACTAACATTACAAATGACCAGCAGATGTATGTAGAGCATGTCTCAATGTTAATACGTGGATGAGAAACATGTGATGTCCAATTCTCCAAGAACCGTTCCATACTCGGATCTGAATCCTCTATCCCAGTGGCAACAGTGATTTTTTTTTAAATAATATAATAGTTTATTTTTACATCATTTTGTACATTTTTTTTTCATCTCAATTGTGATCTCCGTGGGTTTCACCAAGTCACCCGTGTGCCATCACCACAGGGCAACAGTGAGTTTTAAAAATGTTTTTAAGTTAATATTTAAATTTTTGTCTTAGGTTTTCTAGAATGATTTTATTTTTTATTTTAATTTTATTCAGGGAGAGAATATATTTGTTTTTAGTAGCACCTCTCTGAACACAGAATACCCCATGGCTACGGTTCTAAGTTTCTCTGGTTGCTTGATATTAAAATTTTGCCCAGGAGAAGTCACAAGTAGACAGTAAGAGTAAAACCTGTAAGAGCCACACAATTGCTAGTCACACTCTCCAAGACTTCTGCACAGCTGAATGGCACTAAATACAAAGCTGTGTGATAGTTCAATATCTTTAATTAAAAAAATATTAAATTACTGAAACTTATTTGTTTTCATTAAGGAAGCTGAGTCCCAGCGGTATAAAATGAATTCTCAGAGCCCCACAATGGCAAAAGGGCAAGATTCGGATAAAGGTAAGGTCTCCAGAGAGTTGGGACAGTTTACCCAAAATAATTTCTAAACCTGTCCTTTGTGAAACTTTGGAATATATGTAGCATACCTTCCAAGTGCTGTGTCCTTCGAAGGGAAGAGGTTACAGACTTAGCTTTCTGAACAGGGAATCACAAAGGCTGATATGCTTTGGATATACTTCTGTCTAAGAAGGCCATTTGTTTTTAAAGATTTATTTATTTATGCATACAGAACTGGGGTACAGGCCAAAGGTGCAGGGGCAGTAAGAGGATTCACCAGAGACAGAGTGGGGAGCAGAATAGGCAGATATATGAAGTACACTGCTGAGGGGAGCAGTGGGCGGGTCAGGAGAGGTCTGCCGCACCACGTGGGTCAGCTCCCTGGCCAGGAATAGAACTCCTGCTACAGTGGCTGCAGATCACTTCATAGTGCTGTGCTTTAATTCACTGCACCACCAGAGATGGCCCCTAAGAAGGCCGATGTTTAAATTTCCTTCTCAATGCAGCTTAACTGAACTCACTGAATTTTCTTATTCTAATGGAGACGACACCAAACATACACATTCTGGGTGAAAGAGCTTATCTTCTACCTGTCAAGGAAGTGAGGTACCCACTGGTGTATATTTTCTAATTCCTTAAATTAAGCCATGTCTCTCTGCGTTGTGACTAGTTCTCCTGTTGTGTCCAGTCAAGGTCCACATACAACTGCTCCTTCAGTCCCCTCTCCTGCAGCTGTGTCACCACAGCCTTTGAGCCCAGGGCAAAGGCTCTACCTGCAGACAACCACTAGACAGAGTGGCTCTGTGAAACTCTGTGGATTTATAATTTTTGCAACAGGCCCTCCCTGGTGGCACAATGGGTTATAGCGCAGCACTGCAAGCTAGCCACAGCCGCTTCAGTGTGAGATCCCCGGCCTGGCCCCAGAGGTGACCCACATGGCATCGCAGACCTCTCCTGACCCGCCTGCTGCTCCCCTCAGCAGTGAACTTCTTCAGTCAGCCTGTTCTACTCCCCACTCTGTCTCTGGTGAATCCTCTTACCGCCCTGGCACCTCTGGCCTATACCACAGTTCTGTATGCATAAATAAATAAATCTTTAAAAAAAAAATCTTGCAACAGGACTACAAAAGACTGCTTGGCAGCAGCTGAGTTTGTGAGGAGGCAGGCGGTAGAAAATGAAGCTTAAGTCCCAAGGCTTAAGTCCTTTTGTCCACTTTCATTCAATTGAAATTCTCTTCTGCACAGAGATCAGATAATATTGTCTCCTTTTGTGTACCTAATAATTAAGTGTTGGGTTCATTATACACGTGTAAATTGATTTAAAGAACACAAATCTATCTGGAGAGTGCACCTGCTTTTCAAGAGAAATGGGTATTTATTTGGTATTAAACTGTCACCCCTCTTTGCTATATTCTTTGTCTTATTGCCTCTCTCCAAATTCTAGCTGCTTTTGATTTCTATGCCCAGTGCAAGCTACTGTCCGAGTCTCCAGTTCCATTTGAGAGAAGCTAAGTTTTAGAAGACAGGAAAGGGCACATAGGGTTTAATCTTAAGTGGAAATGACAGCTGGCTGGTATTCTTGCCTGAAATTCTGTGCTGGAGGGATGATGAGGATAAATTTGCAATTTGGTAAGAAAAAAAAATACTAAAATTAACTAGTGGTGTCTGTGACAGTCCAGAAGCTCAGAGTGGGCCACACGCAGGGCTCTTCTGAGGTTTGTGCTTACTGAGAGGGCATAGAGGCTGCCTGTGGAGAAGGTGCCTGTGTGGGACAACCTGGCTCCCCAAATCCTGTGTCAGGGAACACAAGTACTGAACAGCAAAGAGATGAAACCAGGGAGGATGAGCAGGGTGTCACCAGGACTCCAGAGATTGGGAAGAAGCTTAAATTATTTTCATGTCAGTGGAAGCTCCCATCCTTGTCTGTCCTGACATAGTTTACATGCGCCTGAGCCTTTATATAAACTGTTTCACCTCATTTTCAGCAACAGGTAGAGCAGGCATTGCACATATATAAATCAACAAATAGCTAGTGTTAGATGCAAAAAAAGAGGATATCCAGGCTAGATGTTCATAAAATGGGGAAATAAGGAACAGATAGCCTCTTAAATGTTAATACTTGATCAAAGCTTACCCACTGATCTCTTGCTTTATTTTTCTAGAAATATATGACAGAGCAACCATATGAAAATAAGAAGGTGATGAACACCTTCCTGAGTTCTAAAACTCTGTTCCTGCCCCCTCTGCCTCATCTCCAGCTGCTTCCACATTCTCACCGGGTCTGAATGTGGAAATTGTTGGTGGTTCCGGTGTGTTCATAGTCATGGATGGCAGCTGAGAAGATTATAGCGAAGATCTCCAGCTCTGTCAGCCAGTTCTGAAAGGGAGATTACAGCACAATCAGATAATCTATCTCTTTCTCAGACAGAGTCTTCAGCTTGCTGACAACACACCCACATTGCTGCCTCTGCTCCCTGCAGCTGGCAAGTGATTGCCAAACACACATTTTTCTGACAGACATAAGTGTTCGTGTGTGTATGTGTGCTTTGCTGTGAAGAGATGGGATGGGGGGAGGAGGGACATGTAGTTTGAAAACAGCAGTCCCAGCAAGGTTGTACTAGCTAACTTTTTCAAGAAAACAAAAATATAATGCACATGATCTAATTGTTTTAATATTCATTGCATACTCTCCAATTTCCAAATAAAACCCCTATGAAGACACAAAAACTAAGCTAAAAATTTCAACACAATACCAAGAACTAAGAGTAACAGGAAATCTAATGTCTCTCAACTGGAAAGGGGTTAGGCAGAAACACATGGAGAAAGAACATGTGCCCTTTGCCTAACAGATACTGATGTTTGATCTAGCCCCACCCACAACACTAAAATTGGCTGTAGTTCACTGGTACTCAAAGTGTGTTCCCTGGCCAGCAAAGGTAGCACCACCACACATGACAGAAATGATAATCACACTGAATCCCACTGGACTGGAGACTCTGGGCTGCAGGCCACCTTGTGTTTGACCACATCATCAGATAATTCTAGCGCAAGTAAGGCTTTGAGAACTGCTGCTGTGTTTGAAGTGCTCTTCATTAAATTTCATGCCAGGGGCTCTCTGGATTCATTCATTCATTCATTTCTCCTACTCTGCTAAGCATACTGCCTGATGCCCATTTGACAGAAGAACAGTCATGACTGTCAGTCACCCGTTGGTATTCTCTGATAACTTTTGTTACTACTTGCATTGATATTTGTAAGTTTCAAGGTGGTGTATTCCAGCCCCTATTTGGCATGTACTTGTCATTGAACAACTAACTATACCATTGAATATGATATAAAACAACAAACTATCAACAGAAATATGGAGCTGATACATCTGTAAAATTTAAGGTCAATGCTTTGAACAGACAGATCAATGCTGTTGAAGAGGTCTAATAACTGTGGAAGAGTAAAAGAAACTAAATACATAAATCTAAAGATTCTGCAATCAGTTTGCTTCATGAGTATGTTTACTTTCCAGTTTCACTCTAAACAAGTAAAACTAGCAGTCTTACACAGGGGCATGATTAATACAAGATACATACCAGTATGCCAGTTAACATAACTTACCAAGGATTTGAGGTCTGAATGAAAGGAGAGTGAATAAAATATATTTACTGGATCTAAGTTAATAAACATGATTTCAAAATGAAGAGGTACATTTTTACAAATCCCAGCATAACTTTTTTCAATTCACTACTAAACTACTAAACTATACTTTTGAAAAGGATTTCTAGCAGCATCCAGCATGAAGTGTCAGGAACTTTTTGGCATCTTTGATAATATTCCTCAATAATACAAGTTGATGTGCTATGATGTGTAAAATCATAATTTCATACTCCACATGTCCTTAATATTTTTCATACCTATATATGTTTTATTCTGGCAATGTCTTTCTGACTCCCTCTACCCAACTCCCCCATATACCTCTCCCTCTAAACAAATGTGATGATGATTTAACATTTTAGAGGAAGGTTATGAATGGGAGCCCTTGTACTATGTAAACAAGCCTGAATCACACAGCATGGTGCAGGTGATTCAGAAGGTGTCTAAGTAACTGCGTAGTTGCAGCTCTCCCTTACAAATACCATTGTAACTTCCTTCCTTATCCAAATACACCAAAAAGATCTTTCTTAGGTATAACCTTCTTCTAATATACCAAAAAAAAAAACCACATTATTAAATGAGCATGAGCATACAACAAGAGAAATAAAACATTAGCTTGTAAAACTCATTTTAATATCCTGGCTTTTCAATAAAACCCTGGGTTGCTTAAGTGTCAGCTTTGCCATTTGGGGATAACAAGAAAGGCGACATCTTATCTGGCAAAAAAAAAAAAAAAAAAAAAAAGATGAGATAAGATGAGAAAAAGCCTCATAGACAAAAGATATTTAAAGATTGGACAGAGCAAGAAATGAGTGTGGACGTTTTTAGAAAAATGATCAAATGAGCAAATCCCAGTGGCAAAAGCTTACTAGTCACGAGTAATGAAAGCCCTGCATTTACTGGAAGAGAGCAAAGGCTGACTAGGACCCTCTGATGTCAGGTACTAAAAGCCAGGATGAGGATACAAACTGAATTTAACAGACAGTAAAGTCTACATATAAGAGATAGAGTAAAAATGTGGTTAGCCTGCCACTGAAAAGAAGAAATAAGAGCAGTATTTTTGGACTAGAAAGTTTTTAAAGAATGGATAGACAGTATGGAGTCAAAATCCACACAGCCTAGCAATGAACTGAATGTGGGGGGAGAGATGGTAGTCAAAGAGAACAAGGAATTAAAGATGATAACATGCCTCACCAGAGTAGCTGAAAAAGCAGTGAGTAGCAGCAAATGGCATCAGTCACAGGAGTGTATAAAGTTGGAGAAGTTATTTTGAAGGAAATTTAGTTTCATGTTCTCCTTTGGCTCAGATTTCTTAACACTTTCCAAATTAATTATTGTGAACCCAGCTTTTACGGCAGTCTGAGAAGTCAGAAGTTTAAATCCCACATGAATTTTATTCTAGTTTATCAATTGAAAACGCATGTCACAAAGCCTATTGGTATCACCATCTACAAACTATGTGTCACAACCAATTCAATGACAGGAATACTTTGGTGGACGGAGGATGACTCAGGAAAGCAAGGTGTGCATGTGTGTGTGTGTGTGTGCATGCATACATGCTAGTGCACATGTGTTGACATACCTGGGGATAGGACAAGAGCAACATGTCAGAGGTGACACTAACAGTCGTGACTTTGATATGTGATCAACAATTTCTTTAGTAATTTGCTTTCACCCCTGTATTATCAATAGGTTTTTATTGCCTCCTTAACAAACAGCTGCAAACTTAAAACACCTATTTATTGGCATACCATTCTATAGGTCTGAAATCCAACACAGCACGTTTGGATTTTCTGATCAGGATATCAAGTTGTTCTCAGGGTTGTTTCCTTTTAAGAAGTTCTATAGAAAAATGCAATTCAAGCACATTCAGGGCATTGGTAGAATTCATTTCTTTCTCATGCTTTCCACTGACTCCCTTCATTTTTTTTTTTTAATATTTATTTATTTATGCATACAGAGATAGGGTACAGGCCAGAGGTGCAGGGGGTAAGAGGATCCACCAGAGACAGAGTGGGGAGCAGAACAGGCAGATTAATGAAGCACACTGCTGAGAGGAACAGTGGGCTGACCAAGAGAGGTCTAAGAGCCAGGCCATGTGGGTCACCTCCGGGGCCAGGGATTGAACTCATGCTGAAGTGTTTTTAGCATCTTAGTGTGGTGCTTTAATCAACTGCGCCACCAGGGAGGGCCCACTCCCTTCATTTTCAAGCTAGTAAAGGTTGGTTTATTCTTTCCCACTTTCTCTACTGTTAGGGAGAAAGGATGTCCTGAACGAACTCTACAGATACAGGTTTTGTGGACTCCACCCCCCACCCAGACACTGAAACTACAAATCCCAACAACACCAAAGGGAGAACTACTAGGACCCAAGGGTAGAGTCAAGCAGCCATTTTGGGTTTTAGATATAATACTGGACATGTTGGGCTCGGGGGTCTATCCCTTGGCCTTGTGGCTGGTGGCTGGTTGCTTGGCTTTTGACCAGCTTTCAGTGTGCTATTGGGGTTCCAAGTCAGCAGAACTGGTAGGACACATTAGTTGATTTGTATCTCTCTCTCTCCTTTCCTGGGTTGTTCCTTTTCCTTTTTCCCTTGTAAATAAATCCATTATTGACCATTTTTGCGTGTGTTTGCAGTGCAGTTGAATCTTAAGTGTACAGGTGAGGACCCACAATGTGAATCAGGTTGCTCTGTAACACTACCACATCTCTTGACTTTTAAATCTCATGAGATCACATGGTTCTCACCTGGGGAGTCCAACATGAGCTTCCCACCTAAGATGCTCTGATAAGTAATTTCTTTATATCTCAGAATCCCTTTTACCATATAATATAACATACCAAGAGTTATAACACTATAGGGCAAAGATCATGGGCGCCAAGATTTTCTAAGCTACAAAGACTAATAAAATTACTTAGCACTCTCTATCCAAAATACAATTTTGATGTCCTTAGTGATTCTCTTATAAATACTTGTGATAAGTGAGCTGAAAAATAAGATATAGCTTCTCCCTTAAAAAAATAGTTAAAAGGAAAATTGACAAAATTTCATTGCTTGACAAAAGCAACGAAAGAGGCCAAGAGGCAGGTTTTGAGTTTGGAATCTTTTGGCCCAAATCAAAAACAGACTGGAGTTTAGAGTCTGAATCATTTTTATTCAATGATCAGCAACTCTTCAATCTAATTCTGTTCAAGGATTTTCTCTTAGAACTAGTAAAATAATTCTGAAAGCATTCAAGTGTCTTCTATGCACCCAAGTTAAGCAATAATGAGCAATATAAACAGATTACAATGAGTAATACTGTTGATGTTGAAGGCAAGATATCACTTTATCAATGGATGTTTTGAATCCCTATGTATCTTACAGTTTATAACACTGAAATGATTTAAAGCATTTCCCCCTCTTGGTTTGTAATGAAAGGTTAGAGTAACAATATGTTCTCCATTCATCAGAATGCTCCCCACTGTTTCTGTAAGCTTGCAATGAAAGATGTTTGTTTTGAGCTGTATTTCCAAGAGAGAGTGGGCGGGAAATAGTTTCTAAATTTAAGAATTATTCTGATTATAGCCAGAGTTGATAATGAAAATTCAATGGCAAATGGCAAATGAGCTCATTTAAGAACAGTATGCAGTACATTATGATCATTGGCTGCTATGAGCTAACATTTATGTTAATGATAACCTACATTAGCATAAATGTTTGGGAGTTTTTCTTGAGAACTGAAGAAGCTATATGATTCACCTTATATCCCATGGTATACGGTACACAGCAGCTACTAACAAAACAAATGTTGAATAGTTGAGTTCAATGTACATTTTCACTTTCATTTTGATCTTTAACATAATATTTTAAAGTTTCACAGGAGGATAATAAGGGCTCCTTTCTTTTCTCCTTTTTTTCCTTTTCTTTGCCAAAAGCATTGCAAAACAAGTCTACTTATTCAAATGCTTGAAATGCCAAATCTGGTCTATTTTCTGCCTTCTCTGACCTCACTTGCATCACTAACTCCTTATTCCTGTTGCACCATGCTTGCTCCATGCTCCTTGACTTGTGCAGCGTTCTCATGAAGGTGAGCCAACCCTGTGCGACTGTGCTGGCACCCTCTTCTTCTTGGCATGTTTCAACCCTATAATCACAACCCCTCGAATGAAATGCTATCTCTGGAGTAAGGCCATTCCTGACTATCTAATATAGTCCCATTTTTCCCTAGGCAAGGAAAAAAATTCAGTTCTCTGCAGAACACCAGTGACATTCTCTTCTTTATGTTTTCATTGGTCTTCTACTGTACATGCTCCTCTAGAATGTAAGTCCCGTAAGACCACCATGTTGTAGAAAAGGACCCCCACACAATAAGTGCTCAATAAATATGCAAGTTTATGTTTTGAAGCTCTATTGAATTCCATTGCTATAAATGCCTATTTTTGTACAAATACATTTTTCCTTACTACAGATTCAGCAAATGCTTTTTATCTAATAGAGAAAGAGCTACCAGCAAATATATTATCTTTTTCAAAACTGTCTTTGATAAGGTTGCAAGATATCCATTTTACATAAATTTTAGATTCAAATAATCTTGTTTTGTGTTGAATCCTACTGAAATTTTTATTGATATTGACTTGAATTTAATGATTATTTTAAGGAAAACAAATATCTATATAATGAGGCTATGCATTAAAAACATGTGTATTGCTCCACTTATTGAAATATTATTTTTGTGTCTTTTGATTTTGTTTGTATGCCAGTTTTGAAGTCTTAATAATTTATCATTTTTTAAACTGTTGGGAATATGTTTTTTTTTCTATTGTACTTGTTAATACCTAATGAATAGGACAACTATTTTAATCTGAACTTATTAAGGATTTTTTACTTGCTTGACTCATTTGTAGTTGTTTTTGTGATTCTTTTCAAAATGATGAAATTACTACATGATGTAGATCTTCAGCTTTGGGGGAATAATATTGTCTAAGATCTCCAGAAAAAATGCTCAATAGCAATATTAGTGTGGGGATCATTTTTAATTTTTTTTTACATCATTCTTCATTTTGTGCTCCGAGTTTTTAATAGAAACATTTATTGTACTAGACAAATTACTTTGTTTTAGTGCTCCTATAATTAAAAAATGATTTTTAATAATATACTTTAAAAAATCAGCTTAATAATATAGAAGAACTAAAAATTCATGATATATTTTGGGAAAATCCTTCAGTTTTAGAGGCAATTCCCAATCACTGAGCTTCCTGTCTAAGACAGGGCACTTCAAAATTATGATGCTTTATCCCTAACCATCACAGAAGTTTTACAAGATAGAATGTTTTTCTCTATTTTAGAAATGAAGAAATTCTGACTCAGAGATTCAGCAATTTATCATAGGTCACAAAATCTAATAAGTAATTAAGCTAGGATTTATAGCCAACTATATGTAGCTGCAAAGCCCACAATCCTCCCACTGTATTCCATTTTTAATTCAGCAAGATATTAGACCAACTCCTTGAACATGCCCTAGCAAAAAAAAAAAAAAAAGATAACAAATGTGTACTGGGTTTATGGGCTAATTAAGAACCAAACCCAGAGAATGTCTATCTTGATGTCAATTATGAAGAAGATGTCAAAGTAAAGCCATAGAAACCTAATATAGAGACCAAGCTATTAGTCGCTAACACTTTGAATTTTAAAATCAATGTCTTAATTCAGCCACAGGGCAAAAGCACAGATGTCCAAGCTGAACAGATCAGTTAATACAATGGATTACAGAACAGAAACGTGAAGATGAAACAAAAAAATCTCATGTTGCTACTTCCTGGGTAGCAGTGGGTAGAAATTATGTTAAGTGAAATAAACCAGAAGGAGAAAGATCAGTTCTGAATGATACCACTCATGTGTGGAATATGAAGAAACAAAACTAAACTAAAACAAGCCCTAAAAATCTGACTGAGGAATGGAGGCTACCAGAGGGAGAGGGATAGTGGGGAAAGAAAGAGGGATGGTGAGGATTCTGGGGGCTCTGGTGGTAGATGCAGTGTGGTAACATGCACCTAAGAGGTGTGAGCGCATATTTCTAATCATATACAATGTTGTGAACCAACATTCCCTCAAGGAAAAAGAACACAAATAGAAATATGAAACATAAATTCACGTCCTTGGTTGAAAAAAAACCTAAAGGGCTGAAAGCAAGCAAGAAAAATTTCAAATGATTAGATGTAAAGTCTAATCCTTAGGTTCAAAAAATTCAAATATATGAAAACAACTTTAGTCGCTTTGAAAAAGACCTAGTAGTCTAAACCAGAAGTGAGCTCATGCCACATAGTGGCCATGTACACTCAATGTGATTTCACATGCATGTATGTCATTGCTGGTGACCACAGCCAGCGTTTATGGTACCTGCTAAATTCTAGAATATATATTTAACCTGATGATAACCTGGCAAGGATAGAGAAAATTCCAGAGGTAATAGAAGAACCCAAAACTATCTGTGATCAGTTAGACAATTCTTGAGGGGCAGGAACTCCACAAATGATGCACTTGTTATGAATTCAACCTCATCAGAATAGGGAGAGCTTCTAAGCTAAAAGTCATCACACCTTTCGTATAATCCGAGAACTCCTATCTGTACATACCGCCACTCCTGTTTTATAGAGAAGGTAATGAACAGTCTGTGTCACATCAGCAGCATGCATTAAATTGTGGTAAGGATTTTTATGTTTGCTGTATCCCACTTCCAAGGCTTCCACAAATGAGACAAGTGCAGAAATGGGGATCTGAAAGAGACCAGCAACATTAATTAATTAGTGATTTTATGACTATGAATAAAGACCTAAAAGTCTAAGTATGGTAGCCTCTTTCTGGGGGCATATGACATGAGAAAATGAGACGTTTTCTAACAACAAAATCACTGGAAAAATAATCAGATAAGCTAAAAATGTAGCAGGAGGTCTGGTTTAGGAACAATCTACATTACAAATTTTTCTTTGTTCCCTGGTTCAGTGGTCCAAGGAAATGACACAGGATCATTGCAAAGATAATTAGGTAAGAAGGGTACATGTGTTCATATATTTCTCAGGCAAAGTCTTTTATTTCTTGAGAAATACATGATCAGCTACTATGAAGCATAGCTCATTTATTTACGAGTAAACAAAAAAGTACACTAAGATCTTTAATTTATATAATGAGTGTAAAATAAACAAAGCTGATACCATTTAGAAGGAAAATGGTGTTACTAGACATACTAAAAAAGAAACAAAATGTGATCATCTATCACATGTGGGGACAAAAATTGGTATTAATATGTTCATTATTTATCAATTTATTATCAGAAGCTTATAATTTGGAATGATATTTCCAATAAGTTTAATCACTTTCTGTCTCAAATATGTAGAGTACACATACCTCCTTTTTCTATGTGGCAGACAGTAAAGGACATATCTATGAAAATTAAGGGGACTCTGAAATCATTCATTGTAGTTATTTTTTGGATCAACTCCTTTGTCTAAGATAAGTTATCACCCCCAGAGCTGGGGGGAAGGAGAGAATGTGTTCTAGAATAGCAATCACGTTAATAAGCGGAAAAAAGGAAAATGCTACCTCTATGCTTCCCTTGAGCACATTCTTCAATAGTGACTGTCTGTGGATTTCTTTTTAATTTAAATATTGCCTTTCAGATATCAGAGATGAAACCAATATCATTTTACAAAATGAATATGCAGCAAACCTGAGTTTTTTTTTAGCTGTTCTTGGTAGACTTATGAATTACCAAATGAGTGATAAAAGGGTATGTGTGTACACAGAAACCATGTTCTGGGCAAAGATATGCACCAGTCACATTTTCAAGGGAGTTTCTGATGCAAAAGGAATTAAGGACCACTCCATAAAGCATTTCTGGCATGTGTACCCAAATACACAATCCTTGGAAAAGTGGTAGAAAAATATGCTATTTATAGAGAAAAATACCCACATTTTCCAGAGCCTTCTCCATCTTAACAGAAGCCTAAGGACTGTGATGTTTTAGTTGTCAGCAAATGAATGCTGGCTCCTAGGAGAACCTCATTGCACCTCCAGATTTCATGCTATTATAAAGTTGGGGGAGTTGAGCAATTTGTGACCTTTACTTAAAGTTGAAGAATTAATCTGAAGCATGAATGACTAGGAAAATACCAATGATTTGTCACAAATGATAAGTGAGAGTGTCTGAATTTGAGCCAAGAGGTATGAAAAAAAGTTTGCAGAGAGAGAAGTGCACTCTGTCTCCATTACCATCTCCTTGCAGGCAGGCGTCGATGGTACATGAAATGAGGCTGAATTGAGATCTGTGGGCAGAGCCGCAGAAAGCCAGATTGGTTCTGCCAGTCCAGGCTTCAAGTTGTAAATCTAGGAAAACTGGGTTCTAAATGGGCAGCCCCAGCCACTCCCCAACAATGAGCCCTGCCAGGCAAGGGAGCAACAAAAATTTCTCACCATAGAGGCATCCAGGGCTAGCAAATGCCACCCACAGCAGTTTCAGTCTATATCAAAAGGATTCTCTTGGCATTGGCCCAAATTCATGCAAGGATGGACAAATATGTGCATTTTTAAAAAACATTTAAATATTTAGGCACTGACCTTGAAGCGGCTGATCAGATCATAGCGTGTGAGTAACTCATAGAAAATGAATTTCAATGCGTGATCCCCACTGGCTTCATTGAGGGAAAAGACATCAAAAGACCACTTGTCCACATCCTGTAGAAAGGTCAGGAGGAAGAATGCATCAGTCCACAGCCAATCACATGGCTACTGCTCCCCACCCGCTCTGGGATCAGCCTGCAGCCTTCACCTGGGATTTCATAGCCCAAGATCCAAAGCCTCTCTCATGCTCAGGCTTTCCCTCATCACAGATGTACAAAAATTTCCTATAAAATACTAAGTAGACTATTACTAGTAACAACTAAAATATGCTGAGTGCCTACTAATTGTTCAGCATTGTGATGGGACGATATGCAATTTATCTCCGAAAATAACTTGTAGGGATTAGGTATTAATATTACACATTAGCCATAAGAAGACAGAAAAGTTGCCCAATTTCCCTAAGGCCCATTGTGAGTCAGTGCTAGAAACATATATGGGACCAGAACAGATAATGCTTAACTGATGACTAAGTTCAGAATCTTTCCATCAAGCCATCCAACTACCATTGCTAAATGTCAAGTTCTTATTTACTCATCACTACCTAGCGTGCTTCCCTTCTTGAAATATCTCCACATCTAGAAAAAGGAACTCTCCTGCACTGCTGGTAGGAATGCAAATTAGTATAACCACTGTGAAAACTGTTTGGAGGTTTTTCAAACTGCTAAAAATGGAGCTTCCACATGACCCAGCAATCCCACTCCTAGGTATCAACACAAAAGACACAAAAAAACAGATTCAAAAAGACACCTGCACCCCCATGTTTATTGCTGCCTTATTTACAATAGGAAAGACCCAAATGTCCAAAAGTAGATGTCTGGATTAAAAAGATGTGATACATATACACAATTGAATATTACTCAGCAATCAAAAAAGATAAATTCATGCCTTTTGCAGCAACATGGATGGAACTGGAAGGGATCATGCTTAATGAAATAAGCCAGGAAGAAAAAGAAAAATACCGGATGGTTTCACTCATAGCAGGAACATAAAGAACCAGATGGAGGGAAAACAAAATGAGCAACTATTTACCAGAGACATTTCATGGGGGCAGAGTAGGAAATGGGATCAAAAATGGGGCTGGGAGAGCATGGGACTATGGTGATGGCACACTGGTGAACTGGTGATAGGAAGTCCACTCCACAGGGATTACAACTGAGATAGAAAAAGGCACAAAAGGATGTAAAAATAAACTATTATACTAATAAAAAATTTTTAAAAATCTCCACATCTGCATGATACTATATACTAACTTGTTTTTCCATACTAAGTGTCAACCCACTTAAAAATGTACGCAAGAAACACACATGGTGTACAACATAATAAGCCACTTCAGTCCAAATTTCTGAGCTGAAAGCAAGGAGATAGCTTTCATGTCACAGGACAGAACAACACTGCCATTTCTGGAATCACCGATTCGGGGACCTAGTCCTCAAATCTATCAAGTTTCTTTGTTGAAAAGAGTAAAACAAAGAGCTAAGTTAAACACACTCCTCAGACACTGTTCTTGACATTCAAAATCTGTCTATAAATAGCCACTACAAAATATTTGTGAACACTGTCTGCTGAGACTTTGGCTTAAGAGCAAAGTAATGAACAAAGGTGTGTTTAAGCAATAGTAAAAGCAACAGTTCTTTGATTTCTCATTACACCCAGAGTCTCCCTTTCAGCTGTTAAAGAAAGTGCACTGCCTTGAGGTGACAATAAGGACATATGTGAGACGACATTAAGCTGGTTCCCAAGAGCTGACTTTGGCTTCCAGGAACTGCTGGGCTGGGAGTCCTCACCTATGACCTCCCATGCACACACCTCAGCCCCTCTCTCTCCCACCATCCCAATGGTTAGGATCATGCCAAGACCACCCAGGGCCTCTCTGATTGATGCCAGGGCTGATGAGCTAATTTAAACACTCACAAGGAAACTAAAATGCAGATAGGGAAAGCCAGACCTTTCCAAAAAGGTTTCAACTGAATCATTTCAATTCATACTTGTTGGTACTTCACCTCAACCTTCAGTAAATTTTATTATAATAACTAAAAGTATTGAGCACATTTTCTGTGTCAGGCACAATACAAAGTTATTTGATATGTATTTGCAAATCCTCACAACTTTAGAAACAGGTGTTACTTCCTGTTGGTTTCAAGATGCCAAGTATCTAATGTCACTGGGCAGCAGAACCCCACTGACAGCCCTGGTGACATCACGTCAGCAGGTGGCATTTTTAACTCAATGAATACATGCTTCTGTGGCCCAATAGGGCCAGACCACAGGTAGTGAGGTCATCAAGATGAACTCTGAAGCATCACCTTTGTTGCCTACTATAATTGGCATCATCACAATGTCTCTTGTCCAACCACTGGTCCTAAAGAAAAGTTCACTGAAAACTTAGTAGGTGGAAAAACGTTTTGTCACATCTGATGACTTTTAACCTTATTCTCCAGATTACGGGGAGGTGGGGTTCTATATCACTGGAAAGAAACAGATTATCAGCAAAAAGTTAATTTGAATATTAGGACTTAGAGAAACAGGAGGATGAGTAAAAAGAGACATTGAGACAGCTGTCCTTTCCAGGCCCTCCTGTTTGAGAGGTGTTCACTGTAGTTCTCAAATTTTAATGCTCTTCAGAACCACCTAGAATATTCAGAAAAAAATGGCAATTCTTGGGTGGGAGATTGCAACGTCCCAGGTGGGTCTAGAATCTGCTTTTTTTATATATATAACAGTTTATTTTTACATCATTTTGTACATTTTTTTTTCCATCTCAATTGTAATCCCCGCGGGTTTAGAATCTGCTTTGTAATAGTGTAACTGCCTTACACTACTCTTTTTACCAAAGCTGGCCTCAGGGGCCATCGCCATGGAGAAAATGCAGGAACTCCCTAGCAGTCTACTGCAGCGGAAGTCTGGCCCTCCCCACTTCCTCCCTTTTTAAACGAGGAATCTATCCAGGGTGTTTCTTCCTGTGTCACACAAGACAGCCCATGTTTACATGATTTACCAGTCCAGCCCAAAAACCAGAGTTCAGACACACTATATTAGAAGTTAATATAAATTGAGTGCAAAGAAAATAAAAAGGAGAAAATATTCTCATATTCCAAATCTGGAGGTTGGTGGTACTCAATTATTCTCCTACTTAAATATTATTTTAGGCCATGTCCTTAGAATAATCACAAAGTAGCAGGGTGACATTAGCAGAGTGGGTATTTTATTGAATTGCATTCTCTCAACCTTTGGGGAAATTTTCTCTAATAGAAGAAAACAATAGTGATTCCTCATAAAGTGCCGATGGCAAAGTGGAAATAACCTTTTTCTAACAGGCACTACAGAAAAAAAAGAATCTATCCGTGTGATTTCTCCTACTTACCTCCAATCCACTGCAAATAAAACCAGTCTTAGGAGGCAGAAAAATATTACATTGTAAAAAGGTCTTGAACTTCCCCAGAAAACAGGAGAACAAGAGAAATAGCAGCTTTAGCCTTATGCACATACAAGCAATACATGTGGAGAAAGGCAGCAGTTTCGAGTTAGTGCTCATTCTTTGAAACATCCAAGCATCGTTCACTCAGAAAGACAACTTGTGTGCATCTGACAATTACCTTTCCCCAAGAGTACAATAACAGTTCATGAGCTTTACAGATCGTGCACCTTTTCCTCAGTCTGTACACAAAAGCTGCTTCAATTAGGAAGAAATATTTTCATAACTTTCTTAGTATTGATATAACCACCTGTATTTATGTTCACAATAAAGGAAGAAATTAAAGATAAAAGAGCTCTTAAGACTTTCACTGACTGTTTCAGGTTCAATTATGAAAATCAATGCACCTTCACAGTGAGTGTTATGAAACATTGTTCTTCTGAAGTGATTTTGCTGATTAAAGGGAAAATGAGCTGTAAATCACAATGAGCTATTTGGGCATAAGTGTGGGGTTAAAGAGGAATTAGAGAAAACATTTATCTTTCTCTTTTTATCTTTCTGCATATCTGTTTTTATATGGGCTAAAAAGACAGAGGAAAAGGAAGCCTGAAAAAATATGCCTGTATATATAAGTCTCACAAAATCAGCCCTTGAGTGTTTCTGAGATGAATGAGGACTATGAATACATAATCAAAGTGACCCTACAGTGCTCTTTCCTGACATAAAATTAATTAAGAAGCACTCCTATCCCTGCTTTCACGGTGTGGCAATTTATCTCCTGAAAAGATTATCAGGTAAATACCCTTTGCAGGTCTGAGAGCAAAGTAACTAAATGGCTTAACAATAGAAGGTGGGACATTCCTAGTGAGTGGGCCAACTTCTCATGTAGGCACCAGGCAACATCAACCAGTCCAATGATCTCAGGCTTGAGCACAGCCCTGTGCTCCATCCGAAGCCAGAACAGCTTCAAACCAGCTGGGATGCCCCACCCCAGGGGATCTGCAGCAACACGCTCACAGGTGTGTAGAGACAGTCTACAATACAGATAGCAGCTATAGTCCACAATGCAGAAACTTGCCTGGTTGGGGTAATTCTGCAACATTCAGCTCACTTCAGCTCAACATTTGCCTGTCTTCCCATGGAGCCTTGGGACCCAGTGAGAGTCTTAGGAGAATGATATGTGGAAAGGACAGGCCTCAGGAGGCATCCATTCATGCAGCAAGATGTTAATGAGTGAAGGCTGTAACAAGACTTAGATCTGTCCCAAATGGCATGTAACCTTCTAAAAACTTTCTCTGAGTCTTAGTTTTTTTCATTGATAATGAACTTAAGAGTAAGAAATCAGATAATGGTAAAATTATGATCACCAAAGCTCTTCTAATGTTGAGAACCTATAATGGAACAAATCTGATCTCTATGGCCAAAATCAGCTTGAGTACTACAATGTACAGATCACTAAACTATTCCTGAGGAGTAGAAAGAATTAAAAATCCATCCAGCGTTTGATTTTATTTTTTAAATTAGCAAGACCAAGGCTCAAAGATAGCATAAAAGATAGTGATACTTTTGGAGCAGATTAGTAAAAGTTAATAAAAGAACAAAAATCAAAAATGACTGGGAAAACTGTAAATGAACTTGTATGAAAACTTATTTTCTGACAAGTTTAACTGTATTTTTATGAGGTACCATGTACATAGTCAAACCTTTTCATTGGTGTTACCTTTAAAGCTTCAATAACTGCTGGTGGGTAGCTCAGTCCAACCATGTTCGATGTTCGTCTATACATCCTGGCAAAATTAGAGAAGGAAAATACAATATTCTATCTTACAAAGAAGGATTAGCAGGTCATAGATTGGTACGAAATATAAACAGATAATGAGAAGGGGCATTACCTGGTTACCAAAGGAACCTAAATGTTCATTTATAATCCATTTAATAGTCATTCAAGTGACTTAAATGATAAATTCAAAAGAAATTAAAGCAATTGCAAGCACATGAACCTCTGGGGACAAAAACTATGTCTGAATGACCCAAATTGGAAATTAAGTATTAAAAATGGGTCACCTCTTCTGCCAGAAGTGGCATGGAAAATATGCATTGTAGTCCTCTCTGAAAGGAGAACCCCTAGAGGTAACTGATTCAGAAGAGCTTGCTCTTTAGAACTGTCAAAAATTGGAAAGAAAAATATCTCAGTTGAACTTTGAACTGACCATGGTATTTCTAAAACATAATTGTGCAAAAATGATTATAGGAGAGTAAATCTTTTTCTGGACTCACTCAATTTTTAAGGAGTGGGGCAACTCCATTTTAAAGAGTAAAATGGTTAATAAAATTGGGGCCTGCCTGGTGGCGACGGGGTTAAGATTCAGTACTATGAAGCAATGGGCAACCACTGCATCATGAGTCGGATCCCCAGCCAGGGAGCTGGCCCACATAGCACAGCAGACCTCTCGTCTCACTGGCTGCACCTCTCAGCAGTGTACTTCAGTAGATCTGCCTGTTCTGCTCCCCACTCTGCCTCTGTTGAATCCTCTCACCCTCCAGCAATTCTGGCCTGGACTCCAGCTCTTATATGCATAAATAAATAAAATATTCTTTTAAAAAATGGTTAAAAAAATTGGAAAGTGTCACTGGGAACTCAATTCCTTGAAACGACTCTCCCCTTTGGGTCAACAGCCCCAATGCACTCCGATTTGTTCTAAATGCAGACACCATCCACATAGGCTAAGGAATGATGGATTAAATGATATTCTTCTTAAGAATCTAGAGTTTGAACTCAAACTACACCCTTTCAGGTTAACAAAAAGACATTTAACAAAGTTTGTCTTAAAGATGCTACAGAAATTAAAAATACATAATTTTCAGTCATTTCCCATTCCCAGCCAGATAGTGATATTTATAATATTTATATTTATAAAGGTACCAAATATTTAAAACACATTCAAAAGAAAAGTACTTATAAGGATACCAAAACTACACTGAAGCAAAGCTTCCAGTTATAAAAACACTTGTTGCTTTTGCTGCTTTGGTTCCTGAACGACATCTGCATTTACCTCTCCACAAAGATCCCAGCCTGTACCGCATGGACGATGCTCTTGAATCGGGGTTTCTCTTCACTTCTTCTGAGCATCATCCCCATCTGTCGGGTGAAGGTGGAGGCCAGCCAGTCTCGAACCTCAGAAGGCACCGCATCTGACTGGATGTCACTGAGCTCATCCTCTGTATCCAGGAGTCGCCTGCGTGCAAGAAACACAGTGAAGGCATAGAGATGAAGTCTGAACTGAGAACCTTCTGTTCAAAACATTTCTTTCTTTCTCTAGCCTCCCTGAACACAGAGGTGCAAAGAAACCAATTTAAATTAGCCACCTAAGAAATACAGCACCTTTACAGTAAGCTTGTGAAAGCCATCTCTTTCAGAATGATCTTTCCCATCATTTAAGGTTCATGATGGTTTTCTGTCCTCAAGACTAGGCAAAGAATCCAAGGAGTCAGAGAAAATGAAATACACTCTATCTCAACCTCCTGGAGCTCAGTCCCATCACACTTGGGAATACCCACTATCTTTATCCCTAGGTTTGTCTAAATTGAGTGGCATCAACTTTCCACTTAAAAATGCATTCACAAGAAAGCTTATTTCATAGATGGGTTATATGGTATTATAGTATATGTCCATTTTAAAAAATGGACATTTGTTGATTTTCTTATAGATGACAATATTATACTTCAAAGTTGTTAAGAGACTAGATCTTGTTTCCACTACAAAAATGAAATGGTAATTATATGATAAGCTATGGTAGAGGTGTTGGCTGACACTATGATGGTGAGCATATTGCAATATCTCTGTATATATAAATATATCAAGTCAACATACTGTTACACCTTAAATTTACACAATGTTATATGTCAGTTATATCCCCCAAAATGTAGACTGTCAAAAAAGAAAAATACTTTGCAAAGTATTACACAAATCACTCAACAGTTCTCTGAAGCAATAAACCTAAATGATGTCAACTGATATTCTCTCTACTTTGATAGGTCATACAGAAAGCTAATGTCTAAACTTGAATGAAATTTCCAAAGCAAGGCAATTATTCGAGACAATAATTTCAAAATTTCTCATTGGTTAGATCACCAAAAAGGAACACAGTGTATAGTAAAGCTTAAAATTGTTATTTATACTTACATTAAGCACTATCAAAAAATAAGCAGTACAAGTGTCAATGAGGGTATTTTTTTCATTTACATATATTAATTGGGAAAAAGGGGTAAATGTAGCAATTAGAAAAAGTTATGATATCAAATATCCTTAAATTGGAAGCCAAACACATAGCCCTTAGAAATTGGAAAACTTTTCACATTAGGAATTGCCATAAGAAAAGTAAAAAATCACGAAGTAGAAAAAAAAAAGGCCTTTCTTATTTACCATTTTGCCAACCTTTCCTCCAAAAAAAAAAAAAGTGACTTGTTACTTTCAAATACATTCAGTAACTGGAACTTCATGAATAATTTTGCACAAGTCAAATGGAAAGACTCTGCTAAGAAATCATTAACATACATAAGGCCAAAGTGGGGACACTGGGTGCTGAAGAGAACAGATGCTTCTCTCTCCCTTCCAAAGTCTCTGCTATGAACACTGTGAATGGATGATATGCCTTAAAGCATGGACATCATTTTAGAAACAGACTAACACTATGCAATAATTACCATGGAAATCTGAGTTTGACAAAAATATTTTTAGAAACTCCCTTTTCCCCTTTTATATAAATTATCTCACTCCATTGCCATAATGGCTGGGAGGTCAGTTCCATTTCATAGATGAAAAGGTGCAAAGGATGTGTGATACATCTAAATCTACCCCGTTCTTAGTGGCACTTAAAGTTCCAAGCCCAGTCATTTGAATGCCACCCCATCTTTGCCAAGGGGAATACCTTTAGAAAAGCCACAGTCACTGCATTAACCTCTGTCATGTTTAGCTCACCTGGTTTCATCGATGTACACAGATTCAAGCACTGTAGCTGCATATTCCAGATTCTTCTTAAGATCTACCACTGAGGCCTCCCCTCTTTCTAATTGTTTGACCAAAGATCGTAACCTAAGGGGATAAAAGAATATGATTCAGTTAGAACAGAGGAAACAAGGAATGATCTTACAATTAAAGTCATACATTTTATATTAAGCAAATGCTTTTATTTATTCCAATATATGTGACAGGAAAACACAAGGCTAATGATGGAGCTGACCAGAATTTCTCAAAAGAGCAAGTCAGAAAATAAGTACAAATTTTTTTGCCATTGTACAACAATACCAGAATTGTAGTTTCCACCCCTCACCATACAATGACCCTTTTTACTCAATTTATCTTTCTAAAACCTCCTAAATTATCAATTATTTTCTTTTCAATTTTATTGTTTTTAATTTGATATAGTAAAGTATGACCAGCTGTACCACCACCAAACACCATTAGAGATTCTGCTTAGCAGTGGCCACAGAGAACAACTATCCCCGGACCCAGAAGTATTCCAAGACAGACAGGATATTTAAACCACCGAAACAATCATAGAGGATTACATAAAGAATACATGAAAGGGGCCTTCCCTGGTGGCACAGCGGGTTAAAGCACAACACTAAGAAGTGAAAGCTGCTTCAGCATAAGTTCGATCCCTGCCCCAGAGGTGACCCACATGGTGCGGAGGCCTCTCCTGACCCTGCTCCCCTCAGCAGTGTACTTCATCAGTTGGACTGTTCTGTTCCCCACTCTGTCTCTGGTGAATCCTCTCACTGCCCCTGCACCTCTGGCCTGTACCCCAGTTCTATATGCATAAATAAATAATTCTTTTTTATATAATAGTTTATTTTTGCATCATTTTTACATTTTATCTCAATTGTAATGCCCGTGTGTTTCCCATCCCCAAGTCACCCATGTGTCATCATAATAGTCCAGTGTACTTCCCCTCACCAGTTTTGATCCCATTCCCCAAATAAATAAATCTTTTTAAAAAATACATGAAAGAGTTCTTCTATAACAGGAAAATACTCTATTTTTTAAAAAATAAGAGTGTGCAATAAACCAAGGCACTAATGATAAGAACTTGCCCACTGCTACTTCAGTTGCACACTGTATAATACAGCTTGTCTTTTATTTATATGAATATTATTTGCACAGACAAGAACTCAGTATAGATGAGAGTTGATGCCAAAAGATGGGAAAACTTTAAATGCCACTGAGATTTGGAGTTTGGAAAAACTCTCCAGACTGTTTGACAGTCAGCAAAGTCAAGAGCAGAAACTGAGGACAATCTTAGTTTTTTTTTTTTTTAAAGATTTATTTATTTATTCATACAGAACTGGGGTACAGGCCAGAGGCTCAGGGACGGTGAGAGGCTTCACCAGAGACAGAGTGGGGAGCAGAACAGGCAGATTGACGAAGTACACTGCTGAGGGGAGCAGCGGGCGGGTCAGGAGAGGTCTGGCTCGCCATGTGGTCTCCTCCGGGGCAGGCGGCAGGCGGGAATCGAACTCATGCGGAAGTGGCTTCAGATTCTCAGTGCTGTGCTTTAACCCGCTGCGCCACCAGGGAGGGCCCAATCTTAGTTTTAAATCCCACTTCACAGCAGAGTCGCTAAGCACTATCAGGCATATTTACCAGTACCAGGTAAATCAGTTATTTACCTTCTCTGAGTGCCAGTTACAAAATGGAAATCCAGCCAAACTTCCTAACTTGACCTAAAGATGGAATCAAGTTGAATGAAAATAGTCACGTGACCCATCATTACTTTTTTCTAGCTTTATTGAGATATAACTGACAAGAATGAGTAAAAGCTCTCAAAGGACCTTTAAGAATGGGCTATGGGTACTTATACAAGAGAAAGTCCCAGGAATTTCAATGATGTGAAATACAGAGAATATTAGATGAAAGGCAGTTGCTACTTGACTTGTGAATCTTCAACATGCAAATCCCATTGTGTAATAATTACATACACATACATATGCTAAGTGGTTGCCAAAATAGTGAACTCACCCACCATATCACATAATCACAGATTTCTGTATATATAGTAAAATCCACATTTAAGATGCTCACAACTTTCAGCTATACAACATAGTATTATAATTACCACCCTGTGTCGTAGAGCCCCAGAACTTACTTAAATCTTAACTGGAAGTCTGTATTCTTAAACGGCACCTCCCTATTTCCCACTTAACTTTTAAGGCAACTGTTACCAATGTGGTCATTGTTGCTTTGTTATTCCGTGGCCTTGACCACCATCAGTAACCAAATGAGAAACATCCTAGCAGGATACTTCATATCACGTCTCCATTTCCCAAAGTTGTTACAACTTCCTGACTTCAAAATATGCTCAGACTTGCTTCCATAAAAGAGAATAGTTCTACTTCTTGGCTAGATGTGAACTACTCTTCTCCAGTTCTACACAAAAATGATCAATTAAGAACGAGTAAAAACTCTCAAAGGACGTTAAGAATGGGCAAGTGGGTACTTATGCAAGAGAAAGTCCCAGGAATTTCAGTGATGTGAAATACAGAGAATATTAGATGAAAGGCAGTTGCTACTTGACTTGTGAATCTTCAACATGCAAAAGGATGCTAGGCAGAGGAAAACAGCAGAGGTTTTGGCAGGTTTTGGGGTGCAGGTCAGCCTAGAGCCTCCATCAGCAGCACTAGAAAGTGTCCTGGTCTGGAGGCAGCATGAGCCAGGGAGCTGACACGAAGCACTTCCCCACCACACACAGTGGATAGTCAGCCTGCCAGAGAATGGGGAAGCCGTGGCAGCAGGTGCTGAGCACACTCCCAAATAAGGAATGGAAGCTCTTCAGCAAAATGAGTCCTGGCTAAGGTTGCCTCCGATTTTGACACTCACCTCCAGGGCCCAATTACCTCCTTGGGGTTTCGGAATCTCAACTGGCAAAATAAAAGGAGGGTAAATATAAACTTAAAAATAGTCTTTCGGGGCCCTCCCTGGTGGCACAGCAGGTAAAAGCACAGCACTAAGAAGTTAAAGCCACTTCAGAATGAGTTCGATCCCTGCCCTGGAGGTGACCCACATGGCGCGGCAGACCTCTCCTGACCCTCCCGTTGCTTCCCTCAGCAGTGTACTGCAACAGTCTGCCTGTTCTGCTCCCCATTCTGTCTCTGGTGAGTCCTCTCACTATCCCTGCACCTCTGGCCTGTACCCCAGTTCTGTATGCATAAATAAATAAACATTTTAATAATAAAAAAATAGTCTCTCTTCTAGGTTGGGGTGTGGGGGGTGCACTGGACTATGGTGATGGCAGAGGAGTGATCTGGTGATAGGGAGCCCACAGGGATTACAACTGAGGTGGAAAAAGGACAAAATGATGTAAAAATAAACTATTACGTTAAAAAAATAGTCTCTCTTCATTTGAAGCTTAAAGATTGTTTCAGGAATTGACAAGAATATCTAATAGACCCTATCTTGATATTCAAAACCTAAATGGAAAAAACAGAACAGAAAAAAATGATGAGGAAAAATAGAAGACTAAGAGAAGTAAGAAACACATGATCCTATGTGCGTATAACAGAGCTTCCACAGGACATCAACAGAAGCAGCATTAATCCACTCAATGTTCCTAGATGAAGAAGATCCTGCACAAACAAATGAAAAGAACTAAATTGAACCCGGGGGGGGGGGGCGCGGGAGGAGGGGAATGTAAGACAAGGTCCAATATATGCGGTTACAGTTTTTTACTTCAAAGAATAAAGAACTTGAAAATGTTTGAAAGGATATATTTATATCTATAAAACTTGAAAATTTAAGCTGGTCACAGACTTGTATCATACCAAATAGCTATCTAACAATACCAGATTTTGAGGCTAAGATGGCATAATTTAAGCTAGCAATCCTTCTATCTATACTTAGAAGAACTTCCATGGGTATGTGAAGTCAACAAATACATACAGAGGGTAGAGCATGGAAAAGTTCAAAATTTCATAATTAATATGCTTTCCCAGAAAATGGAAATAAAAAACTTTAAGATATGTATATTCTAGGACATGGTTTTTCATGCCAGGGAAGCGGGCCAGGGGGATTTGTGAGTCCCCAATTTTCACCACTGCTCACTAATGAGTCTGAAAAATAGAAAAGTTTCCTAAAATGTTTGGGAATAAATAGGAACCTGCTCTAGTTTTTTACCAGAGTACAATTTTCTCCTAGATCTCAAAATCATATTAAGAAGAGTTCTCTACAAAAAAAACCCCAAAGTACTTAGTGCATACATACACACACACACACATAGGCACTGCGAGTTTATGCAACTATCAACAGGGTCGTTTACAATGAGACTTACTTTACTATCATATCAAATTGTTAGTGCCCATATTTTAAAGTATTTTTGTTACACTTGGAGAAGACTAAGGCAGGGAGGCTCGATGCCTTTCCTAATAAAGTCTGTAGGTGAATTCGCTTTACCTAAAAGGTAAAGGTTCCCAAAAGAGGTGCCATGGTAAGTTGTAGTCTGTATAACTACCTTTTCAATACCACCTGAAAAGAGCTGGGGTCCAAGGAAGGAGGAAAGGCCTGGAGGGAGGCTAAAGAGAGGGAGAGGGGAAAGAAATGTGCAATATTGACACTAAAGTTGCTCTTCGGAGTGGATGTTCATAGTTTCCAGCACTCCATCTATTTCTGTCACTGGGGCTGCCAGATAATAGTTTCAGTATGGAAGCACAACACCATTTTAGGAATAGCTTACGCTTTCAAGTTTTGGCAAGATGTCTTTCAGTTAAGAAAGCGTATAATTACATTGTAGATGAGCCACTGCATCTTTACATGAGTTTTTTTATTTCTCAAGGAAAAAAAAAAGCCCTTTTGCTTTCTATATGTTTCCTTGCTCCAAGCCTACGAGGTATCACTCCAGTAGTGTGAGTAGTCTGTGCTCTCAGGTCCAGAGACACCCTGGATGCCCAGTTTCCCTTAGACCCATCATGGGGATACATGAAAGTGTTGGAAGAGAAGAACTAAGTAAGGAAAGGACTGAACACTGTATTTTGGAATTCAAGACGACATTAGAGTAGAAGAGGAACAATCTTACCCCCTTCCCCCAAAGGTAACTTTTAGGC